CTTGGGCTATGACGAAATCACCATTGCCGGAGATTTCAATGCCCCATCACTGAACCTTGGCTCGAGGTATGCTAAGGGGAAATTCGGCCAAAATCTACTGCAAGCTATTCGCAACACGGGACTTACTGAGAAAGTCGGAGACGACACTAGGTGGGGCCCTAGTGGAAAGTCATCAAAACTAGACTACATTCTAACTAGTGACCAACTACTCATTGGAAAGGTCTAGATCATGACTCCTCTAGGAAGTAGTGACCATGCAGTCATAGGTTTCGATCTCGTTCTCCGCGAGCATTCGCAGTGGGACGTTGCGCAACCATGTCTGTGTTACAGCAAGGCTGACTGTGCTGAAATGCGGAGGGTCTTGTCCGATGCAGACTGGCCCTTAGCATGGGATGAGCTGTCTGTGGATGAACACTGGGAAGCGGTAAAAAAGATTATTCATACAGTAATCTCGGGTACCGTCCCTTTAGTCACAACACAGCCCAAAAGAAAGTCATCATGGCTAAAGAGAGGCACGCAGCGTATTCGGCAAGCAAAGCGGAAGGCTTGGTTTACGTGGCGCGTATCTAAGAGCCAGATCGACCATGATGCATACCTGGAACTCAGGAACCGGTGCAATGCAAGAGTCAGGAGGGACAGGAGGTCATTCCAGGCTAACCTTGCTAATGAACTCCTGGCAAACCCCAAGAATTTGTATCGATTCCTGTCGGAAAGAAAATCAACCAACCAGGGGGCATGCGCATTAGTAGGCCAAAACGGTCAATATCTCACTAGTCTGGAGATGGCTGAAACATTCAGTTTAGCCTTCGCCAAACAGCTGAACAGCAATGTGAGTATTACTGTTACGGACCAAAATGGTGGCACCACTATTTCACAGGAGGAAGACCAAATAGCCACCCCCCAAATAAACCCTGCAATAGTACTAAGAAAGCTGCAGCGACTCATACCTGGAAAGTCCCCACGTTGTGATGACATCAGGCCATCTGTTCTGAAACAGTGCGCCGAAGCTCTCTGTAGGCCTTTATGTGACTTGCTCCAACACTCCATGGAATCGGGGAAACTGCCAAAGGAACGGAAAAGAAGCATCCTTTCTCTGATCTTCAAGGGTGGGGATAGCCGAAATCCCACTAGTTATAGACCAGTAGCTCTACTCCCAGTGGTATCAAAAGTACTGGAAAGTATTATTGACGATCACACCAGAGAATATCTCCATAGGTCTAATATACTCCATGAAGCCCAACACGGTTTCAGGAAAGGCAGATCCTGTGTAACAAACCTACTGTCAGTTTGGGACGACTGGACATCATGCTGGGATATGAATGTTCGAGTCCATATGATCTTTCTAGATTTTGAGAAGGCATTCGACACTGTTCACCATAACCTTCTCTTACACAAAATAAGCCAGGTAGGTCTAGGTAAACCACTTCTGTCATGGTTGAAGGACTACCTAACTGAAAGGCAATTTTGCACCAAGGTCAATCGAGTCCGATCATCTTGGCACAGCTCGTCATCAGGAGTGTCGCAGGGTTCTATCCTAGGACCACTGATGTTCTTGATTTTTATCAATGATCTACCATGCCGTCTAAGCTACCCGACTCTTCTATACGCTGATGACGTGAAGATATGGAGGGCGATAAAGTGTCCGGAGGACTCAGATAGACTGCAGGCAGATCTAAGGCTCCTGGAAGACTGGGCGGTGGCCAGTGGTATGACTTTCAACCTGAAAAAGTGCAAAGTAGTGAAGTTACGCACCTGTAGACTGCAGAATGCAAGTTATACCCTGTGCAATGAAAGCTTGTCCTGCTCAATGTCGGAACGTGACTTAGGTCTAGTTCTAACGGAGAAAATGGACACAAGCGTAAATTACACGGGGGATGTAGCGAGGGCATATGCGGTCATACACTTTACACACTCACTCCTGAGCTATTTCTAAGGTTGTACAAAACTTACGTCAGACCGCGGCCTGAAGTGCATAGTATCATTGTAACCACACTTCTTAGAAGAGAAGCACACCTCTTGTAGAGTGTTCAAAAACGAGCGACAAAAGGAGTGGTTGGTTTCCAAAATAAACTGTGTGATGGGAAACTAAATAAATTAGGCCTGCTCACACTTGGCTGCCGTCTGCTGAGGGAGGATTTGAATACTGCCTACAAGATAAAAATGACCAGAATCACTCGAACAAATAGGTTCTGCTATTTAGTAGGTATAGACTTCCTCGTGGAAATCCTAGAAGGATAGCTCATCAGAGGGCAAGGACCCGGGTGCGCTTCCACTTCTTTTCCCTGCGGGTGTGCCGTCCCTGGAATTCCTTACCAGCAGATGTAGCTATGGCACCATCTGTGGACGCCTTTAAGCGAAGACTGGACAAACATGCAGCGACACAAAGACTGCATCGAAATGGCCTATCCCCTTAAAATCGCATAGACCATTCAAAGGTAGACAATTAAACTGGTCGTTTTACTTATTTACATTCTCTTCCGTCTTACTCTCCTGACAGCTTTAACTACACCTATTATTATTATCATTGTTACTGGTATATATATATATACCGGTTGACTGACTGTTGTTACGTTTTCTTATTCTTTTTCTGTCTGTTAGTCTGAATTCCTTCACTAATTATATCTATTATTATTATCTCTTTTCTATTGACGACGATACCGAAGGACCAACTGGTGAAAGGATCAACTCCATTCACAGTAGTAACAGTCTTAACACACCTCATACTACAAACCGCATATAATTAATCCCTGCACTACTCCTTTTGAAGTCAACCAAAGCTACGACAGTCGAGTGGCGGGACGGGCTACGCAGACGTTCACCGAAGATCAGGAACCTCTACCTCACAATCAAGAGGTGAGCACAAAGAAATCAAATTCGTTTATACTAGCTCGTAAAAACGATATTGGATATTGGAATATACGATGCGGAACACACCAAAGTTATATGGAGGGATTGACTTCAAGCCTTTTATGTTTTCCAAGTATTTGTAATACCTCGACGCGCTTTTCGATTAATATGCTACATTTACTTAGTTACATAAAACTCTTGTTTCTGTGGAATTTCTTGCCAAGAAGCTGTGGAACATATTGTTGTCATTTACCTTTTGAACACTTTATCTGTGAATATAATCTTGTTGACTGATAATACCTATAATTATCTGCTCGCCATTTTGTGAATGTCTAACACTAATATCTGTAATTGTATATATTGATGGATTTACATGTCCAGGTTGGCTCAAGTTAGTGATTCTATGATTTTAGTATCATGATACGCGCGCGATTCTGATCGGACGTCACAATCTCTTGGGTGATGATAAACGTTATAGTGATATATTATCGCGCGATGTATGGGTTATCGTGTTAACGCCTATAGAGGCGTTATAAGCGTTTATTTTTGTGAAAGTAGATGACTGGTTTCAGGCTTCTGTAGCCGAAAAAGCAACATTTTCCAGTATTGTATTCGTATTAATGGATAATACTGTCATGATATCCCAGAGGATGTATTACTTTAAGAACTCATCGTATATAAGAAAATTAGCATTGAAAGACTATTATTTGCGTTTCAGAGCCGTAATGGTTTGTCATTTGCTAGTTTTTTGAGGATATTAAGGTTGAAAATTAACTACAGGCAATGGCCAACAGCCGGCTGTTTCCATAGCAGTTATTCTATGATAACGAGACATTTGAAGGAGAACTAGCCCACATACACAAGTTAAATGTACGTTTTGAGGATGCCAAACACTTTTTTATCATCATCCGTGATGATTGGTATATTATAATATACCAATCATAATATGTAATTACATATTACATCGAAGAGAGCATGCGATGAATGAGACAATCTGCTGAATTTCCTGGTGATCGTATCCATTTCGATGAAGTTTCTAGTTAAAATCGCTCAGGTGATTGCAATTTATAACCTAACTTATTGTGCCTGTAGAGATGTCATGCATTCCTTGTAAACAGCCGTTTATAAGACATATTAAATTATTATTTGCTTGGTGCTATACTTCAGAAGAGGAACAATGTGTGTGACAGTGAAAACCGCAGAAGAATGCTGTCATGACCAAAGAATGAGAAAGGAGAATGAACCTTTTTCAGCAAAGGTAGGAGAATATAAAGCGTTTCACTTTTACATTACTTATTTCTAACTTCAGTGATTTAAAAATTACACTTTATTCACTTACTTGCAGGTGTTCGGTGAAGTCAGTCAACCTGGTCACAGCAATTACGCATCCCCGAAGTAATTACGAGAAACAATTGTGTAAAGACATTCGCTTATTATTTTTCATTAAATATATTTAACATCCTGCTTACAATACTTTTCTTATTCTATCTCAGTGAAACTAAATTTGTAATTATGACGAGATGGAGGCCTGACCTACCAATGAGACCTGAGAAAGTAATTGTAGGCATAATTAAACGTAAGCGAAACCATACTAATATTGCTACAGCTCAACCTATTAAATTAATCGTCTCGTGTAAACTTCATTTTACACTATATGTTAACACCCGTAGTCATATGGACTGACATCACGCTTTAAGTGAAACAATGGTAATACACTACTTGTGATTGTACTTAACTTCATACGAAATCGAACTTGTTGTGCTGAATTTTGATTAAACTGGCATACACGTACATTCTAGTATTTCCTCGCGTTTACAATTGTGCCCTAACGTTGCGATTACTCGACATCCGCAACGTAATTCAAAAGGCACTTGCGAAGGAATACGATGGTGTATTATTGCAGCAATCAACAATTCAAAAATCGAGCGAGTACAAAAGGTATCAATTGTTAACATGCAAGATTTAGAGTAATAACAAATCGAAGTACAATTACACAATGAAAGTATAGTACGATTATGAGTAATAAAACGGGTCACTACAATAGCCCCTCCGTAGAATGCAGGTAAATGAAGTCTACCTGTATTCGGAATGATATTGTAAATTACAATTACAGAAAAAATATATACGAGTTTCTGGTATGAAAACCGAATTGAGGATTTTAAGTTTTTGAGGTTTGATAATATAACTGTATATATGCAAAAATGTTAACAGCTTCGAAACGAACCAAAATGTTTAGAAAGTTGTGCAAAATGTAACAATAAAAGCAGAAAAATTATTATTAGAATAATAATGAGGTTGTAATTGTAAAGAGTTACAGAATAGATTTATATCTTAACATACAGTTAATAGTATAGTAATAAGGTAGTATGGAAATGAATTGGGTAAACATTCAGTTACCTCTATTTCCATGAAAGCTGGTTGTACAAGTGGAATTGTACAAGAAGAAATGGCTGTGCCAGAGAAGAGTGCAGCAGTAGCTGCTGCTGATACGGTTGAAAGTGAACCTCCGTCAGTATGTTGTTGTTGCTGGGGTGTTGTTACTCGGCGTTGATGAGTAACTTGAATTGATGTTTACTGAGGTTGGAGAGTAGAAGTTGGTTGATTGATAGCCATTCCCACAGAAGCAGTCGGCATACTGTGGTAAACCAGTGGCTTGAATCAACTGACCGTTAGGACCAACAGTCATGACTTTTAATGGAGCTCCTGGTGCCAGAGTGATAAACTGGGGAGTAGCATAGGAGCATGCAGCTACAGTACAAGGTTGACCACTGACAGAGACGTCAGTTGCCATCATTGTTGCTTGTTGCTGATGTTGTTGGATATAAGCTTGCTGTTGAGCTGGTTGTAACTGATGAGCTTGTGCTTGAATCTCTTGTTGTTGAGGTGATTGAGTAAACTGTTGTAATTGAACAGCTGTAGGACCGGCTTGAGTAAATGGAGTTGCAGACCATTGTCAGAGTGTTTGAACACCTGTTGACAATGCTGAAGCTTGAGGACAGAGAACTGGAATTGAGGTGTTGCATAACAGCCAGCTGCTACAGCTGCTTGAGTATCAGGGTGAACTGGGATAGCAGTTGCTGTGCCGCCAGGTCCGGAGGTACTTTTAGCAGAAACATCAGTAATTATACATCCAAATGTTATGAAGTTATAAAAGTTAATGCGATGGCAAAGATGATTTATTCCACTGTGTATAATTCGAAATGATGTAGTCCATCAATCAGCTATGTCGGGCTCGCCAATTTGTTGCTGCTGAATTTTGATTAAACTGGCATACACGTACATTCTAGTATTTCCTCGCGTTTACAATTGTGCCCTAACGTTGCGATTACTCGACATCCGCAACGTAATTCAAAAGGCACTTGCGAAGGAATACGATGGTGTATTATTGCAGCAATCAACAATTCAAAAATCGAGCGAGTACAAAAGGTATCAATTGTTAACATGCAAGATTTAGAGTAATAACAAATCGAAGTACAATTACACAATGAAAGTATAGTACGATTATGAGTAATAAAACGGGTCACTACAAACTAAACTGCAGGACCTAAGTTCTATTCTTACTTTTCAAACACTGAAGTTAGGTATTTTTGTCATTAGTCCTTACAGATTTACCTATGACTAGGAGACGTAATCGCGTAACTTTAGGCAGATTTTTAGACTTTAATGAAGTACTTACAATTCACCACTTTTATCGATGGAGTGTTCCTACAGAGTTGCACTTACGTATAGTAACGAATTCATATCCTAGGGAGCACCGGTCTAGCATCCCGTACTCCCAACGCGAACACACGAACAAAAAGACAACAATGTTAATAGGAAAAGTTTATTTTTATTGTCATACGAAAGTAGTTAATTTACACATTAAGAAAATGGTCCATTTGTGCCATTACTTCTCCCGCGTAATCTGCGGCAACCACATAGTGAGTGCAGAACAACTACATTGTTAACATTAAATGCCCAGTCGGTTAATGCACGTGGGCAATGTGGGCAAAACATGGGATAAACGGGTAATTTTGATCGGCAAAAAGGTGGGCAAAAGATGGTCATGACTTCCTCGCTTTTTGTTTTTCTCATAAAGAATTCTCAAAATCCTCCCAGCTAAAGAAACGCCTTCGCAGCATTACTTCACCGAAAATTCCACTAACGTGTGCATTGCCTACCTGCAATAAACTAAAAAGGCTTTGTCAATAAGTATCCATCTGTCTCTCAACTGTTTAAATATGATTCCGTGGAAAAAGCAATATGGAAATACATCACTTAGCAATATCCATCAATAAAATGCTACACGTATAACCTAAAATTGAGAAAAGCCCAAGAACTCACGGGTTCCTTGACATCGCCAGCAACCGATAGGCCAACAAATCGAGTATTTGATAAACCAAGCCTTTTATATGCACGAAAGAAGTAAAATAAAACGTTAGAATACTCAAATTTTACATTTATTCCCATCAAATATGCTTGTAAACAACGCATACCTTAACCACACAAACCTGCAACGACATCACCTAACAAGGACAAATTAAATATAAAATTAGCCGCCACTGTTCCAGCCAAAAAAATAATTTAATATTGAAGTAATTTTAGTGGCTGTCGACTAGCAGTGGAATCCAGCATACGCATTTCATGGCTACTGGGGTTCGTGTATCAGTGAGAACAGCATCACTCGCTGAGTCCAAAATAGAACTAAATGCGCTTCTCAGATTCCACTGCTAATCAGTCACCATCCGTCAAAATACTTCAAGTTAATCGTCGTAGGGTCAACACAGACCGAACATTCCTGTCCAATCAATCAACAGGAAAATTAATATTGTTGAATTAACAACAAATTATGAATCTTAACATATTTAACTCACGTCATTCTTGTTTTACTGTAGCCAACAACCAGTCTCCAAATATTGATCACATTGTGATCGGGTTTCTGTATTATGAAGCAAGGTGTATGCAGAAGACACTAATTGAAACTCTTGTCTTTTCAATTTATCTGGATTCGAATGGGATAATAGGTCAGGATATAGACTTTTCGATAAATTATAATATGCTGATTTAGTTTCATCAGCTGTTGCAGATTATTTCACTCCTAATACATTATAAGCATTATACTTTTCCCATGGGAAACAACTGCACAATGAACTGGTTTGAACAAATCGTAGAATCTGTGGACGCAACAGTATGAGACGTTCACTTATGATGATAATATTGTAGTGATAGCTTTAAAACTCCCAAATATTGTTAATTACCTTTCCTATTATATAAACTCAACTTTTTGACATAGAACTAACTAACTAGTTCAAATTTGTAATACCTTGGCGAATTATCACGGAAACATGTAAACAGTCTGAAAACAAACAAAATTAAAGTACACATTATATAAAGCTTACATACCTAAGACGAAACTACTTGAGATCAACAGTTATAAAAAATATACATACAAAAAAGGAGACGTTTTACAAATTATAAAACCTTACTCAACCTCAATTCTTACTCCTATCAATATTTGAGTAGATGAACGAGTGTGTCAACACAAGATTAAAACATATAATAATAACAGTAATTCTTAGGCGCTTATTAATTCACCAGTAAAATCGAATTTCGTGTGTTAGTTGGAGATTTAGTGGTGGAAAGCTCAGCTCGTGGTCTGAGGTTCGACTCCCAAACCTGCCCTGGTTTGCAGACCGGTAAGTAATATTATGGAGTGTGCTGCTGATAACATTTAGCAGCAGTATATAGAGAGATGTTCATCGGCAGAAAAACATCAAATTGCAGGGAGGTAGATTTGATGCCAGAGAAAGCCAATTTTACAAAGTTAGCATTTACAGGTGATTTCCACGCACTGATGCCATTCTTTTGTCAAAGAGGACTGTTCTTCACACGAAAATAGGCTGAATTAATATTCCGAGACGTAAAGTCTTCATGAATGATACTATGCCGAAAGATGAGGCTTCTACATGTAGTAAACGATTTGTGTAAATGAAATTACCCTCCAGCTATCCTATCTTCCTCATTATACCGATATTTTGACACAGTTCGCCTAAAACACTAATCATTGCAGCCAATATGCTAAGAGTGTGCCGCAGTCAGATCACATGACGCGGACACCAACATGACTAGCCAAGAGATGGGAATTCCCATCAATTCAGATAACATATAACACAATTTTATGAAAACTATTAACAAAAGTAGTTTCCAAGCGAAATTTTAACAGAACGTGATGCATAAGTCCAGCCCCTCGATCATGACATTAACGTTACATTTAATACTTAGTTTAGGAGATGCAATGACTATTTCGGACTGACAGGAAGACTCTTGGGAAGTATGTCTGCTGCTTCAAAAATTGGGTTCTTGTGATTTCGATGAGTACTGCAATATAATTTTGAAACAGAACCCCTGCGATCGCACTTTTGATGGAGACACCAAAAACAATATTTTGGTGATTCTTCACTCTTTGTCCTTCTATATTTTGCCATGTTATGTTAACCATTAACGAAAGTGATGATTTCCTCAAGCACGCTGTTATAGGCAACCATGAATACAAACAATTTCATTTGAAATTTCTTACAGGCTATCAACCTGAAGCGCTAATGCCTATCTGCAGCCTACAACCACCTAGGTTCGCTAACGTCAGAACGATATTGCTAAACGTTTCGGAAAACGTTTCCCTGGTCACGCTAAATGGTTTCTCTGCTCAGTTTCAACGAACGGTATAGCTGCAGAAATATACGAGCATAGTCCAGCCCGGATGCAAGAGTAGTCGTGAAGTACATACGGTCTGTTTAAAACCACACAACTTTACGTTGCACTCTGGTCAGACCATCCCTTGTCGTACTTTGACCGTCCAACGTCCCGGTTAATTGCGCGATACAAGCCAATTCTCAAGGAAGACACCATGTCATTCTGCTGGCATTATGTTCCTTGGCGCTTCATCGAACACTGTCTGCATAAAAGACGTCGCTGCCAATCCCGTACTGCTGCTAGACACATAGACGGCTCTTACCAGTAACACAACAACGACATTCACCACGACTGCCTTCCAGATATGAACACTCATTTCATTTCCTGCAGGAAGGTGGATCCATTAGTATGGTAGCTATTTCGTGTACCCAACCAACTGCCCACCGAAAGAGTGTGAGTGCTTATGTGAATAACCAAGTTCCGGAGGATGCACTAACGGAAAGTAGGCTCACATCCACACACAACAATTTATTACCCAACCACCTGCAGCTGAGTTTCCAAACGCCCTGAAATCCTTCAAAGCGTTTGCTACAGACAACAGAGCCAGATACAGCAGGTGGAGGGGAGGACGGACTGTCGGAGAACGTGATGTCATGTGCGATGTCGCAGTTCAAACAGAGAATTGGATATGACACGGGAACGAAATGTGACGACGGATACCTCCTGACAACTAGACGGCAACCAGAAGTTCACCACTGTATATGCTGTCCGGTACGTTCGGAGTACAGCAAGAAAAAGAAACCTGATGAGCCGCGGACATACTGCACAACATCAAGCCAGTTCTCCGACGCCAGTCACTCAGGCGCAGGAAACAGTGTGCCTCCAGATAATTTCCTCACAAAAGTAGAGGGCAATATAAAGGCCAGTAATAAGTTTGTCAATTAACTTTATCTTTTTCCAAGTAACTGCCACTGCGTATTATTATTATTATTGTTCCCTTGGGTTCCTAGTGGAACATAGGGCTTTAACTGCACGTCTCCACTTGCTTCTGTCTTCTGCTGTTCCATGTTATTCCATACTGTTTCATCTCCTCCTCACACGATCTCCTCCATGTCACCCTTGGACGTCCCACTCGCCGCTTCCCTTTCGGGTTCCACTCGAGGGCTTGACGCGCGATGTCACTCAACGGC